CACAGGTACAGTCAGGGATGTTGTTTATAAGACACAGGTACAGTCAGAGATGTTGTTTATAAGGTACAGGCACAGTCAGAGATGTTGTTTATAAGGTACAGGCACAGTCATAGATGTTGTTTATAAGACACAGGTACAGTCAGAGATGTTGTTTATATGGTACAGGCACAGTCAGAGATGTTGTTTATAAGGCACAGGAACAGTCAGAGATGTTGTTTATAAGGCACAGGTACAGTCAGGGATGTTGTTTACTCAGTATAAGTCACAGTTACAGTCAGGGATGTAGAATATAGTGTGTATACTACACAGGTACAGTCATTATAAAGCACCACATTTCCATTAATATGAACTTTAATAATTTTGCTACCATACCTGTATATTTCAGGTATCTGCAATCATACCGGTAATCGACCTAGCGACCGAGCAAGAGGTCAATGGTAGGTCCATGTATTTTTTAAAGAATTTATTTCTAACTTATCTTTACAACTTTGCAACCTGTGGCCTAGTAAATATCGTGTACTTTGTAAATTTATAACTAAATAATAGTTTTGACAGGAGTTTCATTTCAATTCATTGGAGGCTTTTCCCGGGGTGCATTTGAGATGCTTACCGGTATTTTTAAAAAACATTGAAAACGCATGTATGAGCCTTATTCTACCTGCATATATACAAGATTTAAGTTACACAAGATTCTATCAAGCATTTTATATGTTTTAGTTGACACTACTTGCGTGGTTTATGATTCATCATTAGCATTGAGCACGTATAGGATATTCAAATCTTTCCCCCAGCTCCCCCCACCTAAATGATATATCTAGTTCATATTGATCTCTGATCACAGATTTAAAGCTATAATTTTACATCTGTAAAAAGATCCTTCAGTCAAAACTGCTGACCTCGTTTGTCTCGGTATCTTATAAACATTGATATTTTGACATGCGCGGATCTGGAGCCCCCCCCCCCCAACCCCTTAGAATTTGCAGAGTAAATGTGACTTTAGAACCACCCCCTAAAAAACGCAGACCCTCCTCAAAAACACATTATTATCTATTTGAAATTGGTATGACTTGGAAAGTCTCCGTATGAAGTTTTAAAAGTCAAAGACTATCAGTGAATTATAAGGACCACATCCCTGGCAGGGTTTTAATAGTGGATGCTGTTAATCAATTTCGGTTGTTGAAAAAAATGTGTTTGCACGGCACATGTCAGTCGCAGTTGCTGTTTAAAAAAATCACAGATACAAGTACAGTCCTAGATATAAAGTGTGGCCTAGATGTTACTTTTTAGAGATATCAGCGATCCATACAATAGATAGGTAAAGTCAAGTTTATACTTAATTTCCTCGATATAAATTATGTACTTCACTTAGCCATTTATTACTAATCATTTGGCGATCATAGCCTTTCTTAAAGAATATTTAATTCACAGTGGGGAATTCAGCAATTTCGTAGCGGTTCCCCCCGGGGGGGGGGGGGGGGGGGGGCAATAAAAGGTAGAAAGGTAAGTGATCTGGGCGCTGCACTGAAGCCCCAATTAGTTCTAGAGCAAGGCCCTGGTGGGGGTCCGGGGGAGGAACCCCATGAAGCTGACAAACTTTACAAATAAGAGGTGTTTTCCTTGATTTTAGGATAAAAGACATATATATATATATATATATATAAGTTTTACATACAAAAAATTCAAACAGAACGGGGGGAGGGGGGGCATGTCCGGCGCGCCGGCCCTGGATCCGCCTTTGATTAAAATCAGAAATATCCTATATACATTACCTATTTTTCATTCAAAATAATTTGTAATTAACTACATATACTCTGCGTTGATGGCGTATCAATCCGGAAATTTTTGCTCTGACTATTAGTGAACAGGTACAGTCGCAAACTCCATACAGTGTCAATTCTCCGGGACTACTTTCCCTACGAATAATGATATGGAGTTGTAGCGTAACGTAATACTGAGCTGTCTGGAGCTTGGTACAGTCGTGGATGTCCGGTACCAGCAGTGCCGAGTACAGTCGCGGATGTAGGCTGACAGACCCCACTCATGTAGGGTCTGCGTACACTAAAGTGGGCGTGGTTTATAGAGCCCATATCAAAATATTTATGCAGTCAGCTGTTCAAAGAATGCAAGTTCATTATGCAGATGTTATGATTCTGTGATTATTTACCTCATTTATAGATAAACACATTATGACTTTTCTAAAATTTTGTTCATATAAATTAATATTAACTGTTTTCATTTGATATAATTATGTCTTTGTTTTCTTTTTTAATCATTATTTATATTTCTTGATTTTCCTTTGTTTTGATATATTTTTTTCCCTTTTGAAAAATTGCAAGGCATTTCATGAAGAAAACATGGAATTTTATATGTGAACAAAGCACTGTGTAAACATTCGATATGCATATACAGCATTTTAAGGTTCATATAACTACTGTACATGCTTACCATAAACTAAATTCAAATATATGTCAGATTGAATAATGCATATGCATATATCATGTATATACATGTGCTACATACTTTCAAAGAATAAAAGACAAGCTTTGATTATGATTTAGCTCAATGGATTTCAATATTTTCTTTGTGCATATTGGCTGAGATATGAAGTGAAGATACATGCAGATTAAAAGTAGTAATCCTCTGGAAAATGTATATTGAGGAGACTGAAGACAACAACTAATGTAGAATTGATGCACTGACAATAATCAGGGTTATTTTTCAAAATATTTTTCCTCTTGAGTAGCCAAGTCCACATGTACATGTTCCACACCATCATGTTCACAAACGTCAAAGTCCTGTATTACGTTATATATCAAAAATACCATTTGAAGTTTTTATATAGCTGAAATTTATTGTATAAATTAACAAATAGAGCATCTGATTCTTTTGCTTTCCTAATAATGCTGCAAATAAATCCGAACTTTGTTTTCAGTTTCTTTTATTCATTTTTATTATATATTATTTGTCCAAATTTCTTTTCTTTTATTGAAATCGGTTTCATTTTGTCCTTGGTTGTTTTTATTTGTTTCCTGATCAATTTTCACTTGCAAGGAAGCTAAGTAAGCTTCTCCTATTGTTTCAGTGAGACCATGTACACCAGGGGGGACTGGTGCTTGTATTTGAGCCAAGTGCTTCCTTCTATGAGGAAAAATGATTCCCCACATAATTTTCAAATTGCTCTTAAAGCTGCAGCTTGCACCACTGTTGAAAGTTCTAACTGCACATGAAACCAGGCTCTGGACATTGCAGCCATAATTTAGGCCTACTATACACATTAGCCCACTATCAAAAGCTTGATTTAAAGATGGTGCCACGTGTCAAATCTAATCAATGCCTCAAACATGGCATATACATGTACCCCAGAGGTTAGAGGGTATTCATTCTGAAGCAGTTGATGATGTACACATAAATTAAAAGAACATTGTATGAAATCAAAATTTTAATGTCCCATTCAGCAAACAATTCCATATCAGAACATCTTAGAATCTCAGAATCAAAATACAATGACAGAAAATGATGTTATACTAGTATTCAGTATTGAACATATTTTGGTAAATAGTAATGGAAGTAAAACATGTCTTGTTTTGTGGAATCTCTCAATCAAAATACAATGACAACAAATGATGTTATATATTCAGTATTGAACACATTTTGGTAAATAGTAATGGAAATAAAATATTTTTGTTTCATTTCCTACCACTTTCCAGGTACAAATTAATTCTTTCTATATGGTAGTTATCTCGACACTAAATGAACAAATCGCACCTCAAAGCACCGGTCAAACCTATTTGATCCATTATCTGATAATATCTGTAATATTCACGGAAGAATTTTAGTTTATAGCTGTCATTCACAAGAGTTAAATGTTTAAAATTTGTAATCAAGTCGGCACTTGGACAAATAATTTCTAATAGCCCATACACAGGAACAAATTTGGGGTCTATGACTTTCCTGTCAGGAGAAGTTACCAGATCAAAACATGAGGGATTGTTGACTAAACCTGCTTTAAGACATTGTTTTCTGCTATACCAGTATATGCTTCTGTTCATGTTTAAGTCCAAATTTAATGCTACTGTTTAAATTTGTTACTTTTTAATAATGCGCCAGCCAAAGTTTCAAAATCTTTTTTCCGTGAACAAAATCTTTTAAATGTAGATGAAGTATTAAATTCTCTGTTTTCTTGTTTAATTCCAGTGGGGATTTTAAGGCTGTTCAACTGTATTTTGTTTGATGTCAGGATCGGTTTTTGACACGTTTATTAAGTCAATCATAAACATTTTGTTCATCCAGACTCAGAACTGTATTAAAAATTGATCAAGTATAGGTAAGGCCATAAAAAATTAATTTCTTGGATCTCATGCCCTCCCTCATCTCTTCCAAGGGTGCCTCGTTGACCCTTTTTATTGCTAAATCAATAAAAAGTAAAAAAAAAAAAATGCCTCCCTCCCTTATCATATTTCCTAAAAAAAAAGGCCTGAGAACCAAGGAATTAATTTTGCATGGCCTAAATTTTAATCAGGAAAAGTAGGAAAAGCAGGATGGTTTATAATTCTCATCAATTTTTTGGGCTGATATGAAAAAAGGGAACCTCTGGGCACTGGTCCCACTTTTGATTCAATGGTCTCAATGGAATTAATTTTGGAGGAAGTGGCAGTATGGTTTTAAATTGAGCATCTTTGATGGATCTTACATGTATATAGTGTAGATCAAAATTTTGATATAGTGTTTTGATATAGTGTAGATCCAAGTTTGTTCAAATATCTTTCCTCTATAGCATATTGAAATATACACATGTAGGGGAGAGGGATTTGTCATACATGAAATAATATGCAAGCATCTTTAGGTAATGTAGATCCAAATTTGTTTAAAGGCTTGTTTTTTTTCAAAAAGTTGTAATTAATGAGCTTTGATCCCACTTGGGGCAGTGGTTAGAGCATCTGCTCTAGAGTCGCAGAGTAAGAAGTTGATGAGTGAAAAATTCTCAAGAGGGAAGTTAAACATTATACTGGTACAATCAGTGAATCACTAAACAATCAATCATCCAAAACACAAAAATCATACCATACAAAGTAAATCTTAATACAATTGCAATTGCGTTAATTAATTAACAAAGAACTGATGATAGCATTACAAATACAGTGCAATTTAAAAATACTTGTATTAATTAAATCCTATTTTAAAATATGTGCATTACATCATCAAATTTCCCAAATCTGGAAAAAATGTCATGGTATTAATTTCTTTTCCCAAAAAGATCTTTCTCACATGAAGCACATATCAATAAAAATTTACAAGAAAAAATTCCTAAAGCCTGCAACGATTTCTGTTTTAAATATATACAGGTATAAGTTCCATCTCCATTGTACATGTCTAGTATAATTCAAATATGCAAATGATGTTCATTTACATGCAACACTCTTCAACAATTCAATGAAAATATCTCTCAAAATAACTTTTCTTTAAAATTTGTTAATAAACAACACACAGACCAAATCTGGTTTACAGTCCCAGCAACAGACAACGGCAGAACATTATCAAAACTATGGTACTCTTTACACCTTCTGATAGCTCTTTCTACATGAATTCTAAGTCTAGCTATTTGCTGAGTTTTACTAACTTCATCTTTACTAAATTTTACTTTACTTCCTAAAAAAGGTGGAATAATCAAGTGTGCACCAACACTGTCAAGTAAATCTTGGATTAAAAAACCTTTGTCGACCATCACATCATCACCTTGTTCTAATAGATCAAGTATACCACTTCTTTGTGTAACATCTTTATCAGAAATATTGCCAGTAAATAATCTGCTAACAAAACATACAGCACCATGAGGGGTTATACCAATCAAGCCTTTAAAGGTAGTATGAGACTTGTAATTTGAATATGACTGAGAGTTAAGTACTTTGGCACTTGGAGTCTGCACACGTATTTCTGTACAATCCAAAATAACTCGTGTATTGGGAAAAGTAGTCTTAAAGCATTCAGGCATATTCTGTTTAACAATATCTAAATCTGGCCATATGGGTAAACATCCCAAAACACAATACAAGTAATTGCTCCAAGTAATAATAATACGACTAACAGTGCTTTGAGACACACAAAAACGTTGTGCTAAATCTTCTTCAAAAAAACCTTGTCTAATTCTACATAAAAACATAAAAAATTGATCTACAATTGACAAAGACTCTTCTCTAAAAGGATTACAAACAATGTTTCTATTTCTCTGAACTTGTGACCACCTGATCATATTTGAGGCTGTTGGCTCAACAACATTATAAACAGCACAAAAAATATCGTAAGTAGAAAAACCAGTGTAAAAATTTATCAAATTTGGATCTTTAGAAAATCTCTCAATCCCAAACTTCTCTACTTTCTTCTCAAGGTGATGTACCCTTTCTTCTAGTTCAGAAATGTGTATCTTCATTGCCTACAATGTAGTATTACACAGTGATATATGTTCATTTTCAAATAAATATCAACATTACCACAATATAACAGAGACATGTATATTTACATGATGGAATATTATATCATGAAAATCATATGTACATCATTGGATGTCACTGATGGGGCAAATGCTACTTCAAAATCTGTACTGGTGGTTTGTTTAACAGTGTTAACAGATAAGATTTCCAATGTGGTTTTCATATACAAGGGCCAATAAAGCACATTGCTCACCTGAGTAATTTCTGATCTTTAAAAGATTTCCGCCTTGTACTATCTATATGTAAAACTCGAATTCCCTAATATTGCCCCATCCTATCCCCAGGCAGGGATCGAAATTAACTTTTTTAACCACTAGCAAATTTTAGCTAGTGACTTTTTTTCCTACTAGCAAAATTAAATTCTTACTAGCAATTTTCAAAGTTTACTTTTTTTAAAATTGAAGATACAGTCATACCTCTCCTTTTGTTTTTGTTTTGACAGGGAACACTTAGTATGTGCCTGCATTTTGAATTTTCATATTATTCTTAATGTTTTTCTAAGAATATATAACATGGATCAAATTTCAGAATATGACTTGGTAGACAAGTTACACTTAATCTATACATCAAAGAAATGAATGATACACTAACACCCATAAACATTTCATTTATTTATTTGATTCATGATTATAGTCAAAAGTGAGGAAGCATTAATGACAGTTGACTCAAGTTCAATCATCATACTCAAAAGTTACTGTCTAGTGAAATGTGAAACTCACGTTCCCATTTTCTAACGGTTTTGACAGAAGTAGTGACGCTAACACCTTTCTGTGTTGAGTTAACATGGACGAGGTCATTATTGTTTACATCTGAAACAGCTGACTGGGATTCGGAAGTGCGCTTATTAGGTTTACAATATTTATTTAGCGAATGCATGATTGATCATACATCAAGACGCCTTGGCCTTTCGATCCACGCTATGCATGTACTTTGCAACGCGTCTTGATACTCATTCGATAAAGCGTCTCTATTAGCATAAGATCAAAAGTAAACTTCAAAAGGCAACGAATAAACCCGGAATATCCGGAAAAAGATCAATTTTTTTACTCGCAAAAAATTGCGACCACTAGTGATTTTGAACTCGCGATTTTGATTTTCAATTCGCATTTAGCGAGTATTTCCCTGGAATTTCGTTGCCTGCCAGGGTCATGATATGAGAATCTAAACACTGCTCCAGATGCTAAGCTTCCACATAACTTTAAGCTTTTCTGACCCAGTGGTTCTTGATATGATTTTTTGAAAAGTGTGCTTCATTTTTCAATGTAAAACTAGGATTTCCTATTATGGCACCACTCTGCCCCTTGGGGTCATGATTTGATTAATTTAGCATCTACACTAGCCAAGCATGCTTCCACATAAGTTTAATCTTTTCTAACCCAGTTGTTCTTCATATGATTTTTGAAAAATGTCCTTTTTTTCAATGTAAAAGCAAGATTTCCTATTATGGCCCCACCCTAGCCCCTCGGGTCATGATTTGATTAATTCAGCATCTACACTAGCCCAGCATGCTTCCACATAAGTTTCAGCTTTTCTGGCCCACTTGGGAAGATTTATAAATGACCCCACCTTTTTCTTGATTATCCCCCCTCAAAATAGGACTTGGGCCTTCAAATTAAAATTTCATATTCTCCTTTACCCACGGATGCTTGGTAGTACCAAGTTCAGTTAAAATTAATCCTGTAGTTCTTGAGAAGAAGTTAAAAATATGCAAAGTTTACAGACAAATGGAAAGACGACAGACAATGGGTGATCAGAAAAGCTCACTTGAATTTTCAGCTCAGGTGTTAACTAAAGACAACACACCCCCAAGATCAAAGGAACTCATGATCTGTGTATTACCTCAAGATCTTCTTCAAGAGATGGTGCTTGGCGACAATAGTCATGCTCTTCAGATGGCATATCTGTTGGTGTGTAAATGGCACATGATGCAGTTGATGAATGTTGGTCTGTGTCTAACGAGATCGACGATGATGTTTTCTTCTTCTTAATAACTGATGTTTCTTCTCTGAAAAGATCAATATGTATTAAAATACATGTATAATACATAGCTATGTGTTATTTTGATACAGTAGAACTTTGAGAAGTAAGCTTATCTTATTGGAACTAAAAATTTGCCCATTCAAAACATTAATGATTCATAAACCACATTTGATCACAAAATTGCAATTTGTGCAATACTTTTTACATGTCTGGTCGTATAAAAGCTTCACCACATAGAAAATGATAAAAGAAAAATTAAGTTTGAGGGCAGACACAACACTGCATGTAGAAATTATTTTCATGACATACTTTACACTAACGTTTACACATCCAGGTAAGTTTTTTTAACTTTCATAATCCATTGGTACCAAAACAGATTTATCTGGGGAAAAAGTGTGTATAATAAAAAACGATTTACTTTTTTTCATGCAAGACAAGACTGACCATATTACTGTGATGCTCTCCCTCTGGGGTGATTTGAACCAACATATAAGAGGATATTTTTAAGCAATGAGTCCATGAATCATTATTTTTTGAAAGAAATAGTCTCATAATTACAACAGTGTTTGCAAACAAACTGAATATTAAACCTATGAAGTGTTTCATTGCAAATGTGATTTATATTTCAAAATTCCGGTATTATTGTTTGGGTAGATAATGGAAGAGCCAATGCACATCTTCTGTTTAAATTGAACTTGATATTTGGTTCTCGCTTATGACGTTGCACTTCCAAGGCGTTCAACATGTGTGATGTCAAATTAAAATGTAACCTTTAACACTTTGACCCCGTGTCTGTGTTATGATGCTTTGAATGCCATAAAATTTCCCCACGCTTACATGCAAAATACATGTGTATTGCTAGTTTTATATATATATTTAAATTTACAGTTTAGTTTTTTTCTATGCATTCCAAATAAGTAAAACTTGAAACTATACTATATATCGATAAGGTTTCAATTATAAGTCTCATCTTTCCTGGCTCCCATTTTTTTTCAGAAGATTTTTAGAGGATCCCACATACAATTTTCATTGACTATTTCTTAATTATCTCCCTTTGAAAGGTGATTTTGAACAATCTTGATTTCCCCTCACCAAAGGATTGTTCATGTGCCAAGTTTTGTTGAACTAGCTCAATGAAAGAAAATGTGAAATATTACTTAATATAATGATACTAAAAACACCACGCAGTGACGAATAATACACAAATTTGATCAGAAAATCTGACACTTGAGCTTTCGATCTGTTTAGGTGAGCTATTACAATGGCTCATTAATCAGCCAATAACCTACACATGTAATTAGGCTTTAATTAAAAAAAAATTAAGATTCTCATCCAATATTTTTTAAAAATCAAGGCAGGTCGGTGGATTTCATAACATATTTTTTTTTATTTTTTCCATTATACATGCATTATTTTTGACTTGATCAGATGGTGTAGATATCTTTTATATCCGAATGAAAGACATATATAGTTAAAGGTAAATTTAAAATGTATATAATTAATATCTCTTACTACACATTGTCTGGCATCAGGAATCTTTCACAACTGATGCTCCTTGTTTAATACTTCAGTTTATATTACAGCAATAGTCATTGATCTTGTCAGCTGAGCTGTAGAAATCATACTGATATATGTGGGATAGAGAACGAAAGTTGAAAAGTACCCGTAATTGATTACCGATCCCTGTCTGAATTGAGACAAAGAAAAAAGAATTATTTTGAAAAAAAAAATGGAGATGAGGATGAAAATCTAGGATTTTTTTTACTATGGCCTTGTACAGGTATTGTGTGCATTATTCAAGCTGTATTTATTACTTAACAAATGTTAATATAAGTACCGAATTGTCCATTTTTCATGTCCATTATGCTGTAACATGACCAGTTGTACAAACACATGATGTGCTTATGCATGTAACTCAATTTGTGAGCACAGCTGTTTATGTTGTGACATGATGGACATCAAAATTTACAACTCAGTGCTTAAATAATACAATGCAGTATTTTGTTTATCACTAGCAAAATTAATACTGCAAATTGTATCGATCATCACTTATCAAATCTTACTGAGGAGGTCCTTCTCTCTTCTTGGGTGGTTTACGGCTTGGTGCAATCTTGTTCCATGGAAATATACTTGGCACTGTGCCTTTCTTCAATTTTCTTAGTCCTAAAAGATGTATAGATGTTTAACCATCATTTAATTTTTAATCATGTATTTCCAAATTAAAATATTACATGTTTGTTTACGTTTTACTTTTCCCCAAATTACAATTTTATTTTTGAACTTTAATTAGAAATGCCATCTTGATTTTTTAGAAAGTTTATATACATGTGTATTTTGAATTGAAGAATACAAATTTATCATAGATCAATTAAATGAAGTAACAGCAAAAGAACTTAAACTTTGAAGCTGCTTGTACCTGTCAATGTTTTAACAATATCATCTTCCTTAAAATGCTTTGAGCACACATATGTGGACTTGGATATCTGAAAAATATTAATCAAGTTGTAGATCATCCGATTGGCATTGCTATTATTTCAGTTACAATTAAGAAATTATATGTTTTAAAAAGTATACTTAAAAAAAAACTTTATAATAAAGTATATATATCTATATACTTATATTATGCTTCTGTTGAAACGTCTCCTTTATATAAAGCTTAGAATGTACGTAATTAAATAATGGGTGCACAAGGCTTTCTTTGCCAAATTTTCAAAATATATCTTTGGTTTATACCAGCTGCTTACCTTGGCTTTATTATATCAATTGCCTCCTTCACCATAATTCAACGTGGCTCTACTCTTTTGCATGGCAAATTCATTGGCATTTTTGTTGATACAGATAGATATTCAAATGACATGGAAAGACAATTGCCTTTACATCAAATTTAACCAAAATATAGCATTTTGCCCTGCAAAAGAGTAGTGCCGCACTTATTGTGAGGGAACTATATGCAAATGGTAGTTGCAGAATAAAAAAATATTCCAAGTTGGTGCATATAAAATTAGGATGCTGTAGACAAAAGAATTTTTAAAACTTTTAGTTATAACTAAAAGGAACTGGACATCTTGATTACAAGTGTAAATGTACATGTATTCTCAATAGTTACTGACTTTGAGAACAGGCTTAGTGTATGTTTGGCATTTTGTTTTGTTGATACCCATATGGCCTATAAATTGTAGGCCTAATTTCAAATAGCCTAAATATTAAACATGTCTCACGACCGATACAGTGTATACATAATGATACATTTGTATGATTTAATACTATACAGGCTCAAGATGTTATCAGGTTATGAAGAGATTTGTTTTTGTCTTCGGATCGAAATAATTAACTGGCATGTTGGTTGGAATGGGGCTTGGGTTTTCACGCTTGTAGCGATATTTATCATTCAAAATACATTTTATATGACTTGAAAATGTATTCAAGGGTGTTATATCGAAATGTAATAATTTAATTTCAAACCATGTAGAGATGTAATGAAAGTGCCAGATGATACGAAACTTCGCTTGTGTGCAGTTTATAATATAGCAAGATGGACGTAAACATCACTGGTGATGTGGAATCTATCGCCTCACTGTGATTAAATAAAAGGGTCCAGTATGTCAAAACTCAATGAAATTAAAGGAAAATATAATCAAAATTTAAAATCTGTGACTTTTTCAGTTGTTTCAGTGAGGGATTTTTGTATATTCACAAAACCGACAAACTCAGAGTCAGGCACGTGAAAAACTTACATGGAAGTCAGGGCCTTCGTCACGCCGTATTTTAATAATCCACTCTTTCCGTGCAGATGGATCCTTTGGAAAAGAGTGGAAGGATGTTGCTGTACCCCGACGACTGTCCTCGCTACAAAGCGGCACGCAACAATAAGCCGCGGAGCCTGTTTTCGCATGGCCGTCCATTTTCAGCGTCTGCTCGCACATGTGCTTTTTGTCAGGTCAGCCTCGTTATCGCTACGAACTTTAGCGCGTGCGTGAATAGAGTCTATTCAGCTCAAAATGGTGCTTATAAATTTTTACGTAACAAAATTTTGCGAATAACCACTGCTTTGTTAACATTTTCTTGTTTGTAATTTATTTTAACGTAACAAAATTTTGCAAATAACCACTGCTTTGTTAACATTTTCTTGTTTGTAATTTATTTTTAAAAAAAATATTTTAGCGAATGCAATGAACTCGCAAATTTGCTAAAAAAATTATGCACAGCAAAAATTTTCAGACTAACGGAATACCATTGATTTTTCTGTCCAACATTGTCTGAAAGGGTATAATGACCCATATTTTCTCGATTATTCTAGAAATCTTTCTAGACCGTTGTTGATATAAAAAAGGTCAGTCCTAAACAAAGTAGCAATTCCTGTACAAAGAAGTGTTCATTTCGAAGGCATATCGTAGAAAGCCTTAAAATTATATTTAAGACATTTTCTAGGAAGATTCATATTAGAAAAAATCTGCCATTTTTTCCTAATATTTAGAGACAAATTTATATTTCGCCATGTGATAATAAAAAAAGATTTGGGAAACCCCCTTAACCATTGTAAACACCGACTTATGGTGTCCAGCTATTGTCATTAACATCTCAAATTTTACGATATACTTCCTAATTAAGCAGTGACTATATGACTCAGTGATTGTGCTTAAAATCGTTAATAATGTATTTTTCTTGTTATCTCTGACAGAAATTATGCAGACACACTATTTTATTTTAAATATGTTTGACTTTAATTCCATAGAAAGCTCAATGCTTACTGGCAAGACCTCTTTTAGAATAATCATAGTTTTGCAATTTATTGTCTGTATTAATTACTGTAGCTGCAGCAATGTTACCTTCTCCCTTATTTTTATTTTATTCTTTTATTTTTTTTTTGGGAGGGGGTCCTCTGTAAATCAGGCATGAACTGTCAAGTACTAGGTTGCTGAGCAGAGCAACTGGTAAGCATGCATCTGCAGATTTATTTGACACAGTTTTCGTGTTTAATAGACTGGAAAAGCTGACATCGAATTAAAGTTTCGTCTTCTATGTTGAATGTAAAAACAATTTAGTTGATCTACAGTCGCAAAGTTCAGTGGGACTAATTTTTTTGGACAGACGTCTATTCTAAGGAAAATTGCAGTGTCGATGATTCTCGAAAGTTAACGGAAAGGACGACATAATTGGGGCTATTGCTTTTAACTAAAAAAAGCTACCCGAGGTAAAAAAGGCTGCAGTTGTTAATTCTAGCTACATAGGCATGCATACATTGATTTTACTTGCCCTGTATATTTTAAACCAAACACTCTCAGACTTTAAAAGTGTTTAACAGTACAACTTCACTTGGACCTAAAACATGCTTCCGAGAATAACAAGTACTTTTTAAAGGCATAATTATTATTCAAAATTTTCTTTTTAGTGAACCTACCAATTTCCTCGGCTGTAGGATTAAGGCCTACCTTTCACAGAGCTCTAAATCGCTGAAATAACAATTGCGCCAAAGATATGTCTTGTGAAGACCTAATTTTGAAAATCGAGTATGCAACTCAGATTATTCTGGGAATCGTATATGCAATGCATGGGCGTCGGAATCGGGTGGCTAGGGGGCTTAACCCTCAACTTTTTTCGCAAAGATAGGCTTATTATATTTAAAACTGGGTTTTACCCTTTTTTTTGTTGGTTAAGCCCCCCCCCCCCCACTTCCAATTTGCTTGCGACGCCAATGTAATACCAGTATTGGTACTTGTGGATAAGACTCTCTCCCTTCAACACAAGCTTCTTGGACTAGTTTATCTTTTTAAGATTAAAACATACATTACATTTTATACTGTACGAAAAATTGGAAAAAGCCCCTTAAAGTAAATTTTCATTCAGTCCCCAACATCTCTCTCTCTCTCTCTCTCTCTCTCTCTCTCTCTCTCTCTCTCTCTCTCTCTCTCTCTCTCTCTCCAATGTGACTGAAATTAATCAAGTTTAAACAATAAAAATTTTATTTCATTGAATTTAATTTGGACTGTTGCATTCTGTTTATAATTATTTAAGCAATTCCTGTAATGGACAAGATAAGGTAAGAGCAGTATTTGGCTCCCCATTCTGGGTGTCTTTCAGAATAATCCGACAATTTATCCATAAAAACCTGTTGTCACCCCTGCCACAAGATGAGTATTGGTTTTAAGATTTAGAATATACAGGTGTCACAGTGAGATATTTTTCTGCAAATTTTAATAAATTTTACAACACATTTACTTTTGGAAAACATAGAGCACAAGCTTGCCTATCTACCTAGTTTATATATTTTATACATTTTAAACACATATATCAGATGCAGTTTATGTAATAAATTCTCAGATAGGCAAGCTTGTGCTCTATGTTTCCGAAGAGAAATGTATCCCTAATATGATGAAATTCCACCAGAATTGAGAAAAATCTGGAGAATGCCGTATTTCTGTGCCCTTAAGTGGCTTCCATGAAAGATTTGAATTAAAATAAGTGTTTGTATTAAAGTGAGGATCATTTTAACTTCTGAACTACAAACTATCACAATTCTACCATTGTTCTGATTTTTACATCAAATAAGGGGCCAGATTTGGCTGTTACCCTATCTTGTCCTTTTTACTAGTTTCAGCAACATGATATACCAAACTCTTACATTTTCTTCCCCCATCCTATGGGCAGCTGAATCACCTATCTTCATTAGCAAACAACGGAAATTGTTTTCCTCCATATTCGACGAAAGAAAATTAAAAAGAGGTCTGTGGAACGATTCATCTATTTATATAAGCATGAAGAAAGGCGTAAAAACGAGATTATGAAAGGTGTAATAGCCCCTTTTCGATTAGAAAGGCGTAATTATACATGTACCTTTTGGAAAGGCGTAATAACGATTTTTGAAAGGGCGTTATAACACCTTTTTGATTGGAAAGGCGTAATAACGCCTTCAGAAAAGGTGTAATAACGCCGTTTTGATTGGAAAGGCGTAATAATGCCTTTTGGAACAGAAGGGCGTAATAAATTTGTTATAACGCCTTTAAATTTTTTCTCTTTAGATTGATCCTAATCAGCTAATAGGCTTTCGTATTTACTAAATGAAGTATTCAGCACTTGAAATTTAAAAAACTTGGCTCGTACAAACTCATAAAATCATCATTACAGCGTGATAAATATTATACATAAAAGGATCTACTATATGCATGATAGAGAATAAGGCAACCAAATCTTTAAATCCATATCGGTATTTTTATCTGCTACGTTGAACGTAGAGGAAGTGAAATGTCATTTGCGAAAATCAGTAGTCATTCTCTCATCGACCAAATGCTAATACATTGGGTTTCATGAAGTGAAGCTCACACGAAGGATAATACATGCGGTTTCTAAAATATCAAAATCACATTTGGTGTCAAAGCAGAGAGTTAAAAAAAATGCATATAAATAATACAACGGTCTGTGCAAGCAAAATTTCATAACGCACGTTACTCAATTTGTTTGCACACATCGTCGCAATCTTTAAATTATATCTTTTAGAAAATAATGATTTGTTGCTTAGATATACATATACAACACAAACCTGGATTTTGAAGTCCAACAGTGCCTTTGTAGCAGTACTCAACAATGGCTGTCTTCTTGAAGTTAGGAACACAGAGGTACTGACTATTCCCGAATTTGTCCACGCCACACTTGAGTCTGGAAGCTGCCTTATTTTGTCCCGTTTTGTTAATAGGACACGATCCCGAAACATATCCGAAGTCAAGGTAGTCCATACCTGGTTATAAATTATCAAATACATCTTTGATTTCACTTTGTAATTGTATGTAAAGTATTTTTTAATAACAAAAGTTTTAAAAAAAAAAAAGGAAGTTAAGACAAAGAATAAAGATAAATAAGAATGCACTAAACGTTAAGATCAAGATTATGGGTCAAATACATGTATCATAATTCAACCTTTTTGGTCTTCTCTAAAATGAAAATTAAAAAACATAAAAGCCGTATTTCCTTCTTCAGGAGCAAAGATGACGACCAAAGTTAAAATATGAGATAAGTCCATAACTAAAAAAAAATCTAAAACGTATTGTTATCGGTTATATAGATGAAAATTAAGATTACGATACGCGTCATCCATACATAAATGGCAGGCCCAAGTATTCCTCTTAAGAACATTGATTGATTGTATATTGTTTAACGCCCATTTAGAGAACTGTTCACTCATATGGACACGCCATTTCTTTCCCGTGGAGAGCTGCAAATGTTGTAGTATACTCCTAACTCAGGGCCATTAAGGTAGGACAAAATACCCGTGGATTCTTTTTTAACCCATTTCTTAAACAGTACTGGAGGAAAAAGAATAATATAACTATATTGACAACAATGAATGATCCCTAAAAGAAAAATATTAAGTTTTGGTATATTTGCGTTATATTTTGCTAAAAAATCAGAGAATCCTATATATCGGTCACTTGGGAGCTTACATGTCCATTTCGGAATGTGTTTATATACGCTAAGTGCAATTAACAAGCATTTAACAGTCTGTTTTAAAATGCAGTGCTCCTTTTGTTCCGTAAATAGTAGAGTAATGATATTTGGATACATATATAAGGATTCTACATTCTCTATGTGAGACAAAGGTCAAGGTCATATCAAGAGGTTAAAGGTCAAATATTGTGACGTCATCTGCAGAATCTTTTAATTTTTTTGCCATGGAATTTTTTTAATCGCCAAAATATCTTAAACCACCGGTACAATTTTCTTTATTTTTACACATTTAATTCTATGACCCATTTGAATCATTCTGATGATTTTTTGTAAAAAATGAATCATACATTTTCTCTTAAGAAAACTTAAACTGTCGGATATTAACATGTGCATTTTCAGTTTCTGACACAATGTATGTTCTATTTTACTTACTATTTTACCCAAATATTTCAGTATCAATGTGACTTACTGATTTTAAGTTACAAAAAGGTTATCTTTATTAAAAGTATTACACAAATTTGCAATAGATCAATGGAAAATTCTAAAATAATGCTCATTTTCAAGTCGAATGTCTGAATCAACAATCTTCTTACAGGGGTCTGATAGGCCATACTTCAGACTATATGAGCAAAAAATGTGCGGTTGAATTTCTTTCATATCATGTATAAAGAGAGATTTTGTATCCAAGAACAAAATATCAAAGTTTCAGAAAAAATTAATTTGAGGGAAAATTTGATCTAGCCATTTGTCAGGAAGATATCTTTTTCGTGTCAGTACCTACTACATGTAATACATGTTAGGTGTCATACGCATGTATCGAATTGGGACATAAAAATTTTGTAAATAGATATAAAAGCATATCAATTCATCGTTAATCGAAGTTAACAATAAAAAGAATTCAAATCAACCTGACTCATACAAATGTATCAGCAAGATAAAACAAAACATTGATTCACATGCAAGGCCATATTTTAAAATTTATCTGGGTCGCTTTATGGATTTTTAATACTTTAATGAGGATAAACTTGAGACAAAATTTAACAACGTTGTAAGATTGCAAATGACAAGTGATATTAAGACTTCAGAAATGCATCTTTATATATCTATATCTATCTATGAAAAAAAGCTGATAAGAAATGTTTCATTAACAAACATTGATTGGTTTGTATAAAAAATACCTAAGATGACGCAACAAAATACAACACATCTCTATAAAACGGATAAAAAAAAAACATGACGCAATAAAACATGTTCATTAATCTTAATACGCTTATGAAATCGAATTTGTCATAACTTACGATATAGCGAAATAATTGTTATTACGTTCTTAATCATCAGATTCATTGTTTGAAAGTTAATATCATGTATTCAAAGGCCCTCATTCCTTATATTTTCTTTACATTGTAATTTTTATTGCCCCGATTTCAACAGTTAATATACCTGTAGCCATATCCACTGCCTGATCTCTGGAAGCATCAAAAGTCGAATCAGGTCGAGGTGTCATGGTAGAGAACGAATCTCCTGTCGCCAGGTCACTCCCGTTGTCATGATTTGTTTACAAAGGAAAATGGTAGACAATTCAGTGTGTAAATAATGACCAAGCACTGCGTATGTAACAAGTTAGTCATTAAGGATTGAAATGAATGACATAGATCGAATTGTCTGTAGAAATAAAAAAAAGCATGAATCAACCATTCATCTTGCGAAAAATTCTTTTCATTCAAGACTCTTAGTATTCTTGTTTTATACCACCTGCATGTCAATAGTTTGCCTCGATTTAAAATTTCTTTTTTAATGATTTCGGGATTCTCAGGTTTTACCGAGACTCAGCAGTGATCAGTTGGTGGTTCGTAGGATTCAGCGAAGGTTAGAAGACGAGTGTCGTGAGTGATGCATTCGCGTATTTTACAGTTAGAGAGTGAATTTGGAAGGCCAACCAAGTTAAGGGCTGCCAAAAACTTGATTGACCTCCAACATAGCCATAGTTTGTTGTGTCTCGTCTGTTCAGGCTGCTATTCTCATTGTCCGTCCCGATTAAGGCATCATAAAATGGGTGTAATGGTTGAAGGGCTATCACATATACTGTCGGTCCTGAATTCTACAGTATATGCGGTACTCCGAGGGCGACTGGGTATCTTATTCAAATGTTATGTTAGGAGTCTCCCTTTGATTTTGTTTCTTGCCTAAGATTTTTGAAGTGATTTACTGTTGATTTTAATTTACCTATCTTTTGCGTGACAAGAAAAAAACACTTGCTGTGGCCTTCAACTCGACATTTAGATATATCGACGACGTTTTGTCAATTAATAATGATTATTTCCATTCCTACGTCGACACGATATATCCTGGTGAGCTTGAGATAAAAGATACCACAGAGTCCGACACTTCTGCTTCATACTTGGATATTTTACTTGAAAAAGACACAAATGGTAATCTAACAACCAAGCTATATGATAAACGTGATGACTTTAACTTTTCTATCGTCAACTTCCCTTACTTATGCAGCAATATACCTTCATCACCTGCATACGGAGTATTTATATCTCAGTTAATTCGATACGCAAGAGCATGCTCTACGTATGAACAATTTCTTAAACGAGGTAAATTATTGACAAGCAAGTTGATGAAACAAGAATATCAACAGTCTCGTTTAAAGTCATCATTTCGTAAATTCTATGGTCGATACAATGACCTTGTCAGCAAATACAATTTATCATTGAATGAAATGCTGACTGACGTTTTTTCATATCAATTGTTAGTCCATTATTTATAAACTGAGTTGACCACGGATTTTTTCCGTTATTTCCTGATTATGACAACGAGCACACGGCGGGTGTGACAGGTCGGCAGGGGATGCTCACTCCTCCATGGCACCTGATCCCACCTCTGATGTTTCGGGGGTCCGTGTTTGCTCTGCTTTTGTTTTGTATGTTTGTTTTTGGACGTTGAGATTGAATACTGTTCGTTATTTCCATATCATTCTAGATAAGGTTAGAACGTATTTTTAGCCGGGCTTATTGCTCAAAAGAGCACTTGCTGGCTTATGGGATCCCGTTCAAGGTAGGATGTTGACCCAATAGTCGCCATTTTAGAGTTACGTGAAGAAAATAGTTCTTACTCTCAGCCGCTTTTGAGATAATACAAACACTAAATAAAGTAACAAAAATAAAACGAAGCTTTATCTATATAAAATAAACATTAGTAGTAATGACTTTGAAAACATCATAAGTCAAAGAATATAGTTCATTAGCAAAAGGATTTTTGATAATCAGTGTTACCGTAGTTCTCTACACATACGAGGTAAAGCAGGAGAGGGAACCAGACTGGCTTGTTTGTTTATATTCAGCTGCGGCTCCAGATTAATTCTGATTCTGACAAAATTGGACCGTGGTATTAGGATTAAAAAACTCACTGTCAGTGTCTTATCATTTATATTGATAGTTTTAAAATAATTTTTTCATCAGAATATAAACATGGTTCATGAAAGAAATCCAATCTGCTCTGTAAATGAGCGCAGTTCTCTGTACTTCTGAGTACTCTGATTATATTTTGACAGTCCACTAAGATCATACCAATTATTTCGAATCATTTAGTGTTGAACACCCCAAACCCTGGATATGACCAGGTATGATCCCTTTGATTAATTGTAAATACATTACACTTTGTACACAGTACATTCTCGTGTATATAAAAATAACTGAGAATCATTAATTTTAAATACATACATGTAATAATGCATAGTTTCATTGTAACATAAATAATGCAATTTGACAAGGCTAAATCTTACCCTTTTACCAGTTAAATATCACAAAACATGGATTTAACGATGGTTTGGGCTACAAATTGTTAGAGTTAAACCTGGATAACGTTTCAAAAAAGTCAGGTGATGTTTACAAATGTCGTCTACTGATAAAAATATCAGATACGTATTATCAGTATCAATATTTTCTAATATATGTGTTCACTGAAAGACCGCTTGGCCTCTCTAACACATTTGGTAGCAGTATTGTCAATGAGGGTAACATAATGGTAATGTAGTGATTGAGTAAAAGAACTGGTACTGGAAGAAGTTGGAATTTAACCCCCCCCCCCCTTCACTCTCCATCCTCCTTGAAACGTTTTTTTTTAAAGTAAATTCATATTTCCTCGGCTGATGATAATGAGACTTTAGTATAATGTAGAAGTACTTTTTTGGTGTTACATTTCTGGAGATGATATATTAAATCTTTTATCCCTTTGTCTAGATTAAGGTCATATTCACGTTAATGCGAGAGCTGTTTGCGTATCTTTAAGATAGGGTGTGTGTTTTTTCTCTTTCTAATGAACGTCTTTTGGTGAAAAATTTGCAAATACCTTTGACAAATATTAAGAATATACAAAAGCAAGATATAATTTAAAAATATCAAATTTATTCTCTTCTCTAAATATGTCAGTGGTAGTGGTACCCTGTGAAGTCACGATCGAAATCAGATATAAAAAAAAATATGCAACACCAACGATCAACCCTCCGGTGGAAGGATGATAAGAATGAAAATAATACAATCAATGTATATAATATTTCAATCTTATTTTGACTTCATGTTGTGCAAGTTTCTTCGAATCATGAACAAAAATGACGTCAAGGCGAAGCGTCGAGAGATCTAAAATTTTGTGAAGCACTATTTATAACTCTCTTTTTCAGACTTGCTAACTTGCTTAAACAATAACATAGGAAAAATGTTTATACTTTTTCTAACATTTTAATCAAGCAATGTAAAATCAAACGCCCTGGACGACCACCATTTTTTTTTACCGAATTTAACAGTTACTGCACTTTCAACTATCTTTTTTCTTCATTGTAAATCACGAAGGTAAATCATTTATATCAAGATCAGTGATTTGTTTTCTACAATTATAATTTAGAAAGTATATAGAAAGAATCCACATTTATATCCTCCAATGTAATGTAGTGTACAGGGTCAACATAACTTTAAACTATTTCAGATAAAATTTTGCATACAAAGAAAGTAAACAGAAGGTTTAAAATGCATTATACCTGGGTACAGTCCACTAATTGTTTTCCCATAGGCGACAATGTTAACGTTTCCTCTCATAGCGATGTCCCTAATTTTCGTTCAGAAGTGAGTGACCCCTCAAATCAAAGCACATCAACTTGTCTTTCCTTGGTTAAAATCTCGAGGTGGCATGTCAGATTTGTTTTCCGGCAAAATGCGTCTGTCTGCGGGAACCTCTAAAAATGAAAGTGAAAGTAGGGGAATTTCAGAATTGTAACTGGCGTTATAATACACAAAATAATTCGGCTGATCTTCTTGATAAATTACATTTTCCAAGCTTTTTTGGTAGAAAAGATACTCCTTATCAACAAGTGTGAGGCTCAGTTTAGTACATCTGCCCAATTTTTTTTATGCAAGTCTGCAAATTAAGGAACTTGGAATTTTTTCTGCACTACTTTCTTCTCCTACCGATTCTAAAAATAATTAGTGGGATGTACCCACCTATACTGTTATATATACTCTTCAAAATTAGAAACGCATAGTAGAATTTTAGTGACACATTGAACATAAAGATTATTGAGTAAAATTAGGCATTGATAAAACAGAAATGTGGTAAGCAACAGGAATACTATCTAAATGTCATAATTATTCAACAATTTTAAAATTATAGCCAGTTTTAGACCATTAAAGATCAATATCTGGTATGCCCCCCCGCAGACACAAATGATAGCCACAAACGGCATCTAATGGAAGCAAATGTGAGTAATAACAAGAGGCCCATGGGCCACATCGCTCACCTGAGTAACTTGGGTGATGCAGATCTTTTTAAAAGATTTGTTCTATATATATTTCTATGTAAAACTTGGATTCCCCATTGTGGCCCCGCCCTACGCCCGAGGGTCATGATTTTAACAATTTAATATCTACACTACCTAAGGATGCTCCCACATAAGTTTCAGCTTTCCTGGCCCAGAGGTTCTTGAGAAGAAGTTTTTTAAAGATTTATTCTATATATTTCTAGGTTAAACTTGGATTCCCTATTGTGGCCCCGCCCTACCCCCGGGGGTCATGATTTTAACAATTTAATATCTACACTACCCAAGGATACTTCCACATAAGTTTCAGCTTTCCTGGCCCAGTGGTTCTTGAGAAGAAGATTTTCAAAGATTTGTTCTATATATTTCTATGTAAAACTAGATTCCCTATTGTGGCCCCGCCCTACCCCCGGGGGTCATGATTATAACAATTTAATATCTACACTACCCAAGAATACTTCCACATAAGTTTCAGCTTTCCTGGCCCAGTGGTTCTTGAGAAGAAGATTTTCAAAGATTTGTTCTATATATTTCTATGTAAAATTGGATTCCCTATTGTGGCCCCGCCCTACCCCCGGGGGTCATGATTTTTACAATTAATATCTACACTACCCAAGGATGCTTCCACATAAGTTTCAGCTATCCTGGACCAGTGGTTCTTGAGAAGAAGATTTTTAAAGATTTGTTCTATATAT